AAAATACATTTTTATATAAATAAAAAATATTTTTTTTTGTTGCTCAAATAATATATAAGTTTATGCAAAAATCCGCGTTTTACTGTATATAATAGATTTCCTTCAAAAAATTCAAAATTCGAAAAAGGGCCAGCTTTTACGGCTGGCAAAGGTAAAATCCCTCTTGAATATATAGAATCGTGTAAGCAGTAAATATACTTATATAATATTTAATGTGTTCGAACTATTAATGATTTCGAAATACCAATCTCTTAATGAAACATATGTGACGCGAGAGCTGAGATCGAATTCGGAATCCGTCGATTACTGGTCTATCACGCAACGTGTGAAGCCACGCGTCGCCCCCAACTTTAAAGTTAATTATGTGAAAAGATGAACATCGTTACACAAAGATTGCTTTTAAAATTGTAGTTCCCCGACCACCAAAGCAAAGCTACGCAAGGTACCACCGATGCCATATGAATTTTGGACCAACATTCTCGCGTATAAGATGACGAGCTGGTTTAAAGTTTATCGCGCGAAGCATAAAGACACAACCAAAGTATGTACATAAGAATCGCTTTGCAAACCAATAACAGTTTATAACTTTACATCGAATATCTGCAACATTTTAGACATATATATACATATATATATATATATATACATATATATGTATATATATGTACACATATGATAACATGCATCACAGTGATCAGAAATGTGATCAAAGATTTTTAGGTTCTAGAAACCATTGGCGTTGAACCGGAATTCTGGAACGTCTTTCCCGAAAGTTCGATGCTCGATGGCAAAGACTTTGAAGATCTTAGCTTCAAACAACGGGTCTGGTTGCTGAAAACCGTCTGTGATACAATTATGGTGAGTATGCACTATGCAATAATCTTAAAAATGAGGAACTATAAAATTGAACTACCATAATTCTTGCAGCATACTAGAAAAACGGTTCAGGAGGATATGATGAACCAACGATGGGAGGAACAGTTTGAAACGGTTTTAGGAACCGATCGTAACGGGACGAAATATATTTACTTTCCTCAATTTATGTCGAACGATTTCAGAATCTACAGGCATTCCCTGGACAATAAGATCTTATCGTCTGTCAAGGTAATTTCTCATTCTTCTGAGTAGGGAACTCAATCAACTAATCTCCTCCAATTTTAATGATTCTTTGGATATGTTAAAATATACACAAAAATAAGATTTACATTTTTTCTTATTATGCTAAGTCGCACATTAAGGAGATGATATCCACCCTTGAAAAAAATTGGTTTTTTTTCTTTCTAAGTAAATACCATCTAAACTATTAGATATGAAAAAATATTTTACAGTTTCAAGTGCGCTTTGCAATGGTGCATTTAATAAAAAGAAGTCATATTTTTAGAAAAAAATATTTTTTTAAATTGAATTAGAGAAAAATGATTTTTTAAAATTAAAAAACACTATTGTAAAGCGCGCGTGAAACCGTAAAACTTTTGTTTAAAACTTTTTCATATCTTTGACAGTTTAGACTTTAGACGATATTTACTGAGAAAGAAAAAATCGATGTTTTTCAAGAGTGGATATCATCCTCTTAACGTGCGATTCAGCATTTACAAAAAAAATGTGAACCTTATTTTTGTCCATTTTGTAATATATCCAAAGCTCATTAAAATCGGTGAGTCAGTTGGTTGTGTTCTCTTATGAGACTTGACTGGCACTATTTTTACATAAACTTGTTCTTTGAAAATAATAGTAGAAATATTATATATGCCCAGTTGCTATAATTATGTATGTATCGCCTACAAAATAAGTAGATAATAATAGATTAGATTGGACATTGGGTAATAATTAGCATTCAAATATGAAAATCCTCTAAACGTGAATATGTATAGTACTTGATATTTTTAATAAAATAATGTTTTTATTCTTATTAATTATCTTTTAAGTATCTTTATATAAATAATTTAATTATTTAACATAAATATATTATGGAGTGAAAAAACAGATGTTCCTCATCTGTTGTAATATTCCACGTATAAAATATTGAAGTCTTTAAAAAAAAATTTTTTAAAATTACAATATGCAATATAATATGATCAATAAGCTTTAATATCACAGAATATGATTAAGAATATTATTCTCGAAAATCTCGATATTCATTACAATAGGTTTCTTAGAAGGATACTTTTAAAATGTACTGTACACGTATATTCTGTATATTTTATAAGCTGTATGAACATATTTATTAACTACAAATTTTGCAGCCTGTCGGACAAGAGCGAGAGTTGGAAAGGAATAAATTCATTAGATACAGGAAGAGAAAATTGCAAACACGCAACAATTTGTCCGATCGCAGATCGAACAGTCATGAGAATAGAAACGACGACAAGGATCTCAGTAATAATGATAGCGCCACGGGTTCGTTTATCAGTGAGGATACGAATTTGAGTAGTACCAGCACGTGCAGCAACAATAACAACAACAACATAAGCCTGGACGCCATAAGCAGGAAGCGTCGCAGGAGTTTGTCGAAAATGTCCGAGGAAAGTTCGCTGTCGAACGCGAGATCCAGCGGCTACGACACCCACACCTCCAGCGACAACAAGTCTGTCGACGACGAGTCGTCGCGGATGTTCAAGGGTTTCTCCAATACTCAGAATGACAATTGCAATATAGAGATAATTAATGAAATGTTAGATGATTTGAAAACGGAAATCAACGAGGAGAAGAGAGCGAGCGAGTGCGAAAACAATAGCGAATTAGTGTCGCAGGAGAACTTTGTAGAATTGTACAAAAATACCGCAGTATCCCATAGTGAAGCGTTAGTTAACGAAAAAGATGAACTCGAGAGATCGAGCGATAACTTATCCAATAGTTCAAAGACGGACGACGAAAAGCTGAATGAGATAATTAATGCCGAGAGTACCAAGTTACCTGATGACGTATATTCCAAAAGTATTTCCGCCAGTGATAATGTAAGTGATATCTCAATGTTGACATCCAAATCGGATGACGAGAAACTCAGTGAAACGATAACTAGTGATAGTAACGTTAGCGCGAGTGAGAACAGTTTAAATAGAAAAAGAACTTTTAATGACTTTTACGCATCTTCCTCTGTCAATAATACGTCATTAAGTGACGAAGTGGCTAGGCTGGGTCTTGATGAAACGCCATCGGTGATGGAAGAGAAATTGAATAACTCGATTGAAAAAGGAGATAATCTGGAAAAAGGGATAAAACTGCGATCTCGAGATGTAGTGAAGCAGTCTAATGAAGAACACCCAACTGAGACGAGAGATGAGGTGAAAGAGGAACAAGCGTCAGAAGACGATGAAATGAATGAGACAGATGAAGAAAATTTCTCCGCAAGTGAAACGCGACAGACAAGCGTGGAATATGATTTGGACGATTACGTGAACAGTACCGACGCCGGTTACAATTTGCGAAGCTCTGAGAATCAGACAGAATGCAAGCAACGTTTCGACAAGATGTTGTCCGATCTCAGCGTTTCCGACTTTTACCTTGTGGCCGACAGTGTGGAAGAGTTAAGGAACCTTATTGCCAGTTTTTCAGAGAGCGATTCGGAAAGCAATAATTCCAATAACGTAAGCTTAACGCGATTAATTTTCAATATCGATTTTATCGATAATATTTTGCTTTATTTGCTAAAAATTACGCTGCGTTTACAGGCGGAAATTATTCCTTTGTGTGAAGTAAAGTTGGTAAAGAAGTTGACTGAATTATTAAGTTCTGTGGAACCAACAGAGACGTTTCTGAAGGATACACTGCGAAGAGCAAGGGCAAAACTTCAAAGGGAATGGTCTAATTTTAAAGAAGGGTATGTACAGCAACATGTTTTTTTTTACACCTTACAACGCGAAATAATCGTACGTTTTTCAAAAACTCATATCACACATTAAATCTCATACGTCACCACAGAAAAGCAATATGATTAAAAATACTAGAAAATGTCATTTCATTGCATTGCATAAGGCATACAGCTTTATTAACGCATTTGCGAAAGTTTTTTTTTTTTTGCTTTGATTAGTAATAATGCATAGCAAAATAATGCATCTTCAGAGCTTCTCATATTTTTTCATTTTCATTGTCTTGAAGAATTTGAACCTACCTGACGCCTTGAGATTGCTACAATCCATGTGTGATTTACGATGTGGTCGTTGTCCACACTTCTTCCGAAACGTAAACGTTAATCACTTCTTGTCGAGCATGGTAGAGAAACATGTGATGTGTTGTAGCAGTGTGGAGGATCAGGACTCATCCGGTGAGAGTGGTCTCAGCTCTAATTGGTGGGTTCTTGGATCACAGGGCAGGGATCCACTCTCAATCCCCGGAGACGCAACGTTACAAACGTTACCGCAATCTGCCCTATCCTCACTTGGCACCCAAAATACGCAAAAACAGTCGCGACAAGTCGAGAACGAGCACGAAAGCACGGCCAAAGATTCTAAGCAGAATGACCACCACGAGAGCGGGGAGGCGAGTGACGAGCAGCAAAACGGCGGAAGCGACAAGAAACGGTCGGACGATAAAACGTCACCGGGAGGTGACCACCAGGTCGTGGAGGAAGGAGACAAACGGGAAGACAAGCGATCCAAGGAAAACGAGATCGCGTCAAACGACGAAGGTATTCCGTTTCGTCACCCTCGTTTCCTGCCCGATTGTCTTGTTTCTCCTTTCGAGGGACGTACTGACAGCGCTACGTCGTTCGCAGATGCCGAGGAGCAAACGCAATACAGTAGACGAGTACTACGAGCGCGCGGCGTCTCTTCGTACACCGAACAGTCTTATTCAGACGACGAGATCGACGAGGACGAGCTGGAGGAATGGACCGATGTTGAGGCAGTGTATGCGGCTCCCGGCACACAGGCCAATACATCCGCTTCTCACGTTGGTTCAAAAGAGCGAAACGCTGACCACTGGTCGGACGAGGAGGACTCAGACCAAGATTGGATTCTACCGAGCTCTCGCAAAAGGAAAAATAAACGTTCGTGTGAGTGTCCGAAAGAAAAATTGTATCATCATAAATAAATCAATACTATATATATATATATACAGGGTGTCTCATAATAGGTGTATCACCGTTCATAGGTAGGTTGAACGGATTAAACTGAATCGAAAAGTCCTCTACCATTTTGCAAAATTCGCAATCGTAAACGAGACATTAATTTTTGAAGAT